TATGTTCGTTTTCCTTTCTTTCATGTCAGAATGGCTCTTACGGTGTAATTTTTGCGTGTAAATAGTGATACAATGATCACCTTTTTCTTTTGACTAAAATAAAACTAAAGCGCTTGAGACCACCAGATTAAATAGATAGCTGTAAATATTCTAACTTAAAGTTTTAATTGAATATTAATATATAGGTGTTATTGTCATTTTCAGGTGAATAAACAAAATATGAATTACCCCCAATCAAATCTCGATACAATATGAAATCCTATTAGTAGCCAAAGAGTCACTTCAACTATTAACAACAACATATCAGCGTCAATCAGCGCATACATCAAATACCTGTTACATTAGTCCGCTCCAATGCGCTCCCTAGCTCTTAGTTTATGCAAAATTAGTTTTCCAATACAAAACCCCTCGTTTCTAAGCCATATTATTATCTTATCTTTCCACTTGGCACGCTATAAATTGGTCAAAATCTCGCTGGCTCCTCGACTTTGCCACGTATTCGTAAGTGGTAGGGTGGCTAAGATGTAGACGATGTTTGGGACGACATGATACATGTGCTTTATTCGAATTTGCATAGTAATAAATTTTCTGTTTATTTCCTTTATATTCAAGTTAATTGAATAAATAAATATATGCAACTTAAAATATAACTAACTAAAACTAAAATATTTACACTTTATAAAAAGTAATAATAAAAAAATGCTATCTATCTAAAAATGTTATTGTTCATGCCTTAGCATCAAAAAAAAAATCCTCATCGCTATCGTGTGGTAGGGTGCCTAAAAGACTGGCAGCATTGCCACGTTAAATGGCAATGCTTAACCTTTGCCTAAGGTAGTAGCCAGCCCTTCGATCACCTGAAGTGTCAACCATCCTCCTTACAATATCTAAACGAATATTAACTAATATGTATTTCCTTTTTTAGCATGAGTACTTAATACTTATTGCGTAAAGCAACTGATCAAGATTTTTTATATCAATGAAAGTCCTATTTAATTCAGCAACGCCTACTTTATAAGCATTTTTTAATCGATTAAAAAAATGAAAGTCCACTCAGTTTGACTTATGTATGTAAGTATGTTTGCGCGCAGTTATCTCGCAATTGGCTGAACCGATTTCGATGCGATCTCTAGAAAAGTGTTTTTTATATTTAGAAAAAGGTTTTAGTATAGTAATTAACTAACTAAGAAGAAATAAAAAGAGGAGGTTGGAGTCGGTTTTTTAAACGTAGTTTACAACACAATAGTGTAATATTGTGTTAGACGGGCTGCTACTATTGGATAAAATAGCCCATTAAGCTTCACAATAACCACGCGACCGCGCACGCTGCTCATGAGGTAGAACCCCTCTGTGGTTCGAAACTAGTAGAGCTTTTCTCAGTATATTCACGTGAGTAACCCGCGATTTTTAGTTAATTTAGTATGTCTCACGATAGTTATTATAAAAACATAGGTGTTACTTAACCCATAATTAATTTACATAGTCCACCTAATTCCGTACCCATACCCACCCTACATCCACAGCTAGTGGCTTCCACGAGTGGTATCACCATTTAGCTCCGTTCACCGAGTAGAAAGATAAAATCAACTTCAACAATATGTTCTATTATTGCCCAACATAGATTGCATACTCTTGTTTATGTATTTATACTTATTGTTATATATATAATGGAGTACATAGAAGGGTTATTAGGAACTGGTTCAAGTGGCGGTTGAGATTGGTTGTGTATTTCTGATAGTTAGTATATGTTAGTAGTAGATGTTAGAATAAATAATAGCAATTAATGTTTTGCGTAGTTTGGCGAAATATACTTTTGCACATCTATTAAAAATCATTGTGTAATTTTTTCATTCAAATACAACTACTATTGAAGTTGGAAAACGCGAAAATAAGAATAATAATAAGCAGTTGCCTATACTAATAATACCTACCTAGTTAGGTATTAATAAATAGGTACCATCTGTGAACTTATATTTGTAGCCGTTAAATGTTACTTATTGAAATAGGAACCGTTGCTAAAACAGTAATAATTTATCGGCGAACACTGTAAACCGTAAAATTCTAACATAACACACTTTTAATCGTAAAATTCTAAATTGATTTCATAATTTTTAAGATACCTTACAATTGTGAGGGCATCGAAAAACAATACAGCATTACAGTTCCAAATAAAAATACTAAGTCCAATACAAACCGCAGCTCAACCCTCACTAGCCGCGAGGTACATTTTTGTGCCACAACAACTTTCATTATCAAACTAACACAAAACTAAGATAAGGTGCTCCCCCCACAAAGTAATCTTTACATTCCCCCTCCAAAAGCTTGGAAACTTGTGAACAAAGTTGGAATAACTTGGGAAGACCAAGGGCTGTTTAGAAAGGACCCCCAAACTTGCCCCCAGACTGAAATATTAATGTAGTTTCACAGAATCCTATATGAGGGTATATGCTTTCTGAATATTTGCTAATGGCTCAACTAGAGTCCAGTTAATATCGATACGTTTCTATAGATTTGTGGACCGATAGTTCTCTAATATTGGGCAAAGTTTTGTCTTGAATTTCTAAGAATGAATGTTCTATAGATTTCATTGATTCAGATGTGAAGTTACTGTAGCAGACTATGAGTTATGTAATTTATATGAGTCTAATATGACTCAGTTGTGTGGTTTCTTTGGCTGTATAAAATGCTATTTTTTTTAAAATACTGAAATGTTTTGCGTCTTTTCAAAACGTTTTTAGGCTTATCAAGCTTAAAAACTCAAAAGTCGACTACAAAAAAGACATTAATATAATCATCAATGTCCTTTTTGAGTAGTTCCAATAATATTTTTATAGTTTACCTGTATCTATCTTAAAGTTAATCCAAAACATAGAGATATCGGCGGCTTACCGATGATCAGTCGTGACAAATTAATAAAAAATAACAAATATTTTGAGCAGTAATTCTTAAAGTAAGTCAGCATTAATTTGTTAGTATCTCCCACCAATTAGAACTTTCAAATTCAACTTAGTTCGCCATTGAAACTTCATTTGGCTGCAGCAAAACTTTTCTTAACTAAAACTCAGTTTCGATCTATACAGACACTAACGGTCGAAACGCCATTGCGTGGAGACAAACACGCGTGCACAAATATGGATACGTGGACGACACAACACATGCAAACAAATTCGCACACAGACAGAGTTGTCGGGCAAATTTTCAACATGGCACACCAAGTTAGGGGTGGACTACACTCGTGTCCTTCCTTTTGATTGCAATTAATTCGGAAACTAGGGAGGCGACGGTCGGGCTGCGGGGTGAGGGGTAAGGGGGTAAAGGGTTCGTTCGGCCAATGCGCAGGGCCGAACTTGGGAATGGATTGTTGGAGTTTGAAAGTTGGTACAAGTGTTCGGTTTGGTTAGCGGTCTTTAGTTCTAGTTTTGTTTCTATTGATTTGCGATCAAGTTTTTGTTGTTAGTTCGAGTGTAACGGAACTTGATAACGAGGTGCGTAATTTTAGTTGGCCTATTATAATGTCTTGTTGATTTTAATTTAGTTGGTATGGCGGTTTCTGTGTGAATTTATAGTTTTATAAAATATGTATGTAAACTTACTTAATAGTCATTTTATATTATAGCTTATGCACCTACCATGTCATGTTTCTATACCACCCTAAGGTAGACCGGCAGAAAATGCCCTAGGCATGTTCTAGTTGTGCTAATTATGTACAGAAATATTAAATAAATAAATAAATAAAATAAATATTTAAAGGTTTTGTAGAGTTTGGAGAAAATTGTATTTTTTACGATTTTTTCTGATGTTTTCTTTACTTTATTATTAGAACTATTTTCGAGTAACATGCCATCAGCTTCCTAACGTCATCTGCTCCATTTACAAGCTTGTATTATAAATACTAAGCTAGTTGTGGTTTTTATAAACATTCGAATTAAAAATAATTTAACCGGATTTATGTAAGTGCCTACTTAAAGTTTTCAAAATAAACATAGTTAAACTTAGCTACAAGCAGTTTTCTGGAGGTAATGTTTTAAGAAAATCTGAGAAAATTTCCTCATCAAACTCCGACCCTGGCTGTCAAACGGTCTAGTCCGCCATTACCCAGTGAAAAATACTCAGACATTTTTATCCCGTACTTATGACCTGTTAGGAGGAACCCCTGTTTTCTTTTTGCAATTAGTGACTTGGGATATTACTGGTCTGCCTTAATATCTCTGAGGTAACTTCAGACACAAAAAATATGGATTTTTCACCTTGCCACAATGTTTGCTGTTGTCAATACTTAGAACAATTTATACATGTGCATAACTGAACAATATTTTAGACTAACGTAACTATAATTAGGGTATTATACCGTTTTATTTCTTGTAAAATTGATTTTAACTATATACTAATTGTAGTCGTGTTGGCCTGGAGGTTTAAGACGCCCTATTCTCATGCATGAGGATGCGGGTTCGAAACCTACAAACGGCAAGTACCAATGTAACTTTAACCGAGTTATAAGTACTTTTTAAGATCTAGACACACTGACAAACGGTGAAGGAAAACATCGTGAGGGCTTATAATTTCTAATCGCTAACCCGCATTAAGCAAGCGTGGTGATTAATACTCAAACCTTCTCCATGTGAGAAGAGGCTTTGCTCAGCAGTGGGCACATAAATGCTGCTGATGATTATGATGATACTAATTGAGTTCTTGTAATAAAACTTGAGTGTTACTTCCAATTGTTAACATTTCTATGACACTAAGTCTAGAAATTTTTTTTATTTATTTATTTCAACTTCATACAACAAGTGTGTA